ATGTCTATTTTTCATATTTCTTCTTTGAACATCAGAGACTGTGTTCCATTTTTTAAAAACTGCAGCTGTGTGATTTCCCTCTCTGTTAAATAAACATTTCTGAAATTTTACTTCTGTTATCTTCTACACAGCTATGGAATTTTAAATCCACAATTTTTTACACTTATGCTATTTTTTTGGTATAGCTCAGCAAGACCAAATTTAGTAATTAATAAATTTAAAAAAAATCAAGTTAAGTCCTTACAATAAACACTAAATGGTATATTCCAAGATTGAGTATCTTTTTTTTTTTTTTTTTTTTTGCTGACTTTTCCTGCAATAGCCCGTCTAGTGCCTCTCACCTTCTGCTATCTAAAGCAATCCAGACCTAGATAGATACTACTTAGGAAGTACAAGAGATCATCTAATCTGGTAACTATCCCATTCTACCCAAAAGAGAATTTTACATGCCTTGGATTCACCAGGATAAAATGCTGTGCCTTCTGACCCCTGGGACAATGAGTTTCCACTGTGGAGCCTATCTCTCATATGATAGGAATTTAAGTTTTAATCCAATTAACAGACCATTTTTAAGTGCTGCTTATGCTAAAAACCTTGTGCTTTTATTTTTAAAATGAAAATCACTTTTGAGGCTGGGCATGGTGGCTCACACCTGTAATCCCAGCACCTTGGGAGGGAGAGGTGGGAGGATGGCTTAAGCCCAGGAGTTGAAGACCAGTCTGGGCAACCGAGAGAGACCCTGTCTCTACAAGGAGTTAAAGAAAAAAAAAGAAAAAGTTATTGAGGCATGGTGGCACATGCCTGTAGTTCCAGCTACTCCTGAGGCTGAGAGGGGAGAATGGCTTGAGTCCAGGACATCTGAGGCTGCAGTGTGCCATGTTTGTGTCACTGCACTCCAGCCTGGGCAATAGAGAACACGTCTTAAAAAAAAAAAAAAAAGAAAGAAAAAAAGAAATATTTTGAAATTTGGTTTTGCTTTCTTTTGTAAAAGGAAAATTTGTGGGCCCCAAAATTACTAACCTAAAGGGAAAACTCAAGCTGGGAATGGCTCAAGGCAAACCTGCCTCCCACTCTGTTCAAAACCATCCCGCTGCTCACTGAAATAGAAGCATATCTGATGGCCTCCTTCGGAACACCTTATCGGAAACTCAAAAGAATGCAACCTTTTTATCTCTTACCTACCTGAGACCTGAAAGCCCCTCCCTGCTTCACGCTGGAGCTGTTTCTACTTTTCTGGATGGAACCAATGTACTTCTTACATATATTGATTGATGTGTCATGTCTCCCTAAAATGTAGAAAACCAAGCTGTTCCCCGACCACCTCGGGCACATGTCACCAGGACTTCCTGAGGCTGTCACAGGCGTACATCCTCAACCTTGGCAAAATAAACTTTCTAAATTAACCAAAACCATCTCAGATATTTAGGGTTCACACTTTCAATTTTAAAAATAAACGTTTTTAGGACAGGTTTTGATGTACAGAATTATTAGATAGATAATACAGAGAGTTGCTATGGCTCTTCCTCAGTTTTAACTATTACTGGTACTTTGTTAGTATGGGGCACTGGTGACAGTTAACAGGCCAGTATTGATACATTATTAGTAACCATATCTGTACTGTGTGCAGCTCTTCACCAGTTTTTCCTGTCATTTTCTCTTCCATGATCGCATCCAGGATCCACATTACATTTACTCATTGTGTCTCCTTAGGCTTTTCTTGGTTGTGACCCTTTCTCACAACCAAGCTTTCCCTGTGTTTAAAGATCACAGCGGCTTTCAGGAGTGCAGCTCAGATATTTTGCAGATTGTTCCTCCGTTGATATTTGTGTGATATTTTCATCATAATTAGATTGGGTTAATGTGTTTTTAGGAGGAAGACCACGGAGGTAAAATTTAATTTTCATCGTATCCTGTCAAGTGTACATCCTCTCAATATGCCGTATTACTGTTTATGTTGACTTTGGTCACCTGGCTGGAGATAAGGTTTGTCAGGTTTCTTCACCGTGAAGTTACTTTTATCCTTTCCCTATCCCTACTGAACTGTTTGAAAGAAAGTCACTAAACACAGCCCACACTTAAAAAGTGGGAAGTTTTTCTCCACATCCTTAAGGGTGGAGAATCTACATAAATTATTTGAAATGCTCCTGTCTACATATTTGCCTATTCTCATCCATTCATGTATTTATTTGAACATTTATTTTTATCTGTATGGAATTACAGATATTTATTGCATATTTTGGATAATGACCCAATACTGGCTTATTTATTTTGTTGCTCAAATTGTTCTAGCTTTGGCTACTGACAGCTTTTTCAGTTAGTCCCTTATCTTTTTTACTTACATACTTCCATAATTTTGTGTGTGTGTGTGTGTGTGTGTGTGTGTGTGTTTGAGTACTTTCTTGCTTTTTTTTTTCTTGAGCTACCAGATGTTCCACCTTATCTTGTACATTTCCTCCCTCAGTCCTAGGGGGTCCAATCATTTATCCAGAAATCCCTGTTCTTTCATTGGAGAATGATTTTTGAAACCAAGATTGGGGTGGTAGGTGTGTTAATTGCTACTGAGTGTCATTGCTTCTAAGTCTTCTCAGCTGCCAGAGTAGAGAAACATATGCATATACATGAATATGGGCCACGCATGGTTGCTCACACCTGTAATCTCAGCTACTTGGGAGACTGAGGCAGGAAGATCGCTTGGGCCCTGGAGGTTGAGGTGCGTCATCATCTCACCACTACACTCCAGCCCAGGCAACAAAGTGAGACCCTGTCTCAGAAATAAATAAATAAATAAATAAAAAGAAATATATATCAACATGTATATGTGTAGCCATCTGTATATATAGTAAGGTAAACACGAATTCGTACTGACGTCTTCAACTCTAATACATTATGCATGGATCATTCTAGCCTCTTTCCCTGCTTATCTGTAAATTGCCACACCAGCAGTGAGAAATCTGGCTCCCATCATCCATTTACTTTACTGTTCATTTCCAGAGTACATATATAGTTGTTTCAGAATTGTTAACCTGTACGCCCATGGAAAGCAGGTTTATCAACTAGAGTACAGTGCATATGTATAGTTCCTTTAGCCTTTGGTCTTACAAACTCCACTCATTTTCAAAGTTAGTTAGGTTAGCACCTTATTTCCTCCCCCTTCAGTGAGGTTGTTTCATACATCTGTAACACATTTATGTTCTTTCTTTCTTGGTATATTGCGTTTCATTCTGGGATTCCCCAACTTACTAATTGATTTTTTTCATTTGCCTACATTAAAGTTTATGCTGTGCTATAAAATTCTATGGGTTTGACAAATGCTTAATGTCTTGCATTTGCCATGATCATATCACACAGAATAGTTTTACTGCCCTGAAATATATCCTGTGCATCACACAGCCAACCCATCACTCCACTTCCAAACTTCTGGAAAATTGTGCTGTTTTGAAACTCTAGATTGGGGCTGAACGTCTCCAGAATTTGATATCAAAATGAAAGGCATGGCAGATAGAATATTTATCTCATAAATGAACTGTTTTAAACAAAGTGGGCATTTAATGACTGGTGGTGTCATGTTTCTTAAATATCAAGTGTTGTGGAACTTTATTTTTACCATGTTAGCATTTGTCTGAATAAAAATAAAGCACAATATCTCATACTGGAGAAAAATATAATTGAAAGAGGGTAGAGATGATGAGTGAATTTGAGCGATAAAGAGTGAACTGACAGATCATATTGATTTTATGTTTTTCATTTTCAAAATATGTTTGAAAACATGTTCTTGAGTCATGGCTCACTAAATTTAAAGTTGTTATTTTGTTATAGAGGAGAACCATCTTTCCCCTCTCCTTCCTTTTTATCCTTCATCCTCTCCTTTCTTTTCTTCCTTACTTCCTCCTATATGAATGTTTACCCAGTAAGTCCCTATTTTGTGCAAAGGATATAATAGATGCTAGGAATGCATAGGTGAAAAAATTTATTTATGACCTCAAGGACCTTTCTTATTCTTTTTGAGGAAGGAAGAGATGAAGGTATAAGTTTTACATGGTATTATTCTATTGGTATAATAGGCACATAGAGGAATAGAGTAGTAACTCTGCCTTGCAGGATCAGGGAAGACTTCCAGTAGAAGTGACCCTCGAGCTTTGGAGGAGGAGTGTTAATGTTTAAGACAGATAAGGAAATGCATTGTAGAGCTACTAGTTAATTATAGCTGGAGTGGTCAAGGTGGGCCTGAGAGAGTAGTGTGATAGAACATGTTAGACAAGTATGGATCATGCAGGGCTTTGAGTTTAAATCTTACCCAGGGAATAATGATAGAGACACTGAAAAATTATAAGCAAGGTAGTGATTACATCATATGGCATCTTAAAAAGAGTGCTCTGGCAGGTGACTGGTGGGAGAATTAGACAGGATATGATACATGATCCTGGAAAGTTTCCCAGATGGCTATTACTACAGTCAGGGTGGGAGATAATGAGGATCTGCTTTAGTTCAATGACAGAAGGGAAGGAGCAGCAAGGAAGTATATGAGAAATATGTTAACAAACTTTAGAAAGTGAGAAGAGGAAGGAGGCAGTGAAGTAATACTAGGAGAGTAAAATTGAAGATGTTCTCTAAATCCCATTCATCTTCATTCTCATTAAAGGGAATTTGAAACCTTGATGGTAAAGAGGCATGTTTTATGCAAGTTTATATTGAATATTTCATAATTATGTTTCCAAGAATGAGTGTCAACATTTCCATAAAAATATTAATTCATGAGGAATACAGTTCAGATATTTATTTACTCTAAATGTTATTAGAAGAAGAATGTAAAAAATCAGTTGAGTTTGTAGTTCATCTATGACATGAAAATGAAGTTAAACTTAGAGCTTTCCTTTTTTTAATGAGGAAATTATTCTGATAGTTTTTGAAGATGCAGTTCATAAAGATTGAAGTAATCACCCACATTAATGTTCACGATATCAAAACAGAGTTTAATCTAAAATCAATTTGTTCTTTGGCAGGATGAATCCTTAAAGCAACTGCAGGTAGTTCATCAACCATGGATCTTGCCAAGTGACACAGAAAGTGAAGGAGTGGAAGCAGAACAGGAGAAACGTGAGTAGACACTATGGTTTATTGACAAATTTCTTTTACCAGAAGGAAATCCATAATAAAGGTATTTCACTTTCATAGCAATAAACCACTTCTATTAAGAAAAAAATCCCAGATTCTATTAGGAAGAACAAGTAAAGACAAGCTATCCTTCAGGTCTATGTCTTCATTCAGTAACATCTTAATCATGGTACAGAGACTCATAAACCAACTTTCTGGGAAAAAAAAAGTAATTATTCTTCCTAAAGACCAACATAGACTGTCTAGTTGGACTATGAATCTTCTATGAATAGTCTACAATTATATCAGTGATAATTTATAATTATTTTCAAAATTTCAAAGTATGTCAGGATCAGCTGATTATTATATATGAAATTATACTCATTAGTTAAATGAAGATATTTACATATGTAAACACTGTTCTAAGTTCACAAAACCAGTTAATATTGTAAGATAACTGAAGACAAATAGACTAATGGCTCTTGGTTTAAGTCACCGTATTCTAATAATAATGAGGAATGAATTACTCTACTAATGCCATGACTCAGTGCATGCTCTCCAGGGTTTATTGAGATTGTAAGTCATATGGGCCCAGAAATCTGATTGAGAAGTTAGTATCAAATTTTATTTATTTATTTTTCTAGTGGTAGCCCTCAGAGAGCAATAACAATTGTATGTGATAATGTAGCCCTCATGATAATTGGTGCGATGTGATGAATAAATAACAATTCTGAGCCATAACCATGAGAAATACTTATATGTTACACAGGTAGCATTATAATCATGCATCTGGGGATTCCAGGAAATTACACTTCCAGGTTAAAAGCCATTTTAAAATGTTCTTATCCTACTTCACCATACTGTGGGCTTATGTGGTCAGAGGGAGCACAGGCCTGAGAGTGAGTGCTCAGGTTAGAGGAGGAGGATGGAGGCCAAGATTCACTCAGCTGTCACATCCAGAAATAGAGTAAAAAACACAGTGGTACTTTATAGATTCTATTCAGGGAAAACAGCACCCATCTTCTATAGAAAACAACTAATAGACTGGGTGCAGTGGCTCACCCCTGTAATCCCAGCACTTCAGGAGGCCAAGGCGGGCAGATCACCAGGTCAAGAGATCGAGACCATCCTGGCCAACATGGTGAAACCCCATCACTACTAAAAATACAAAAATTAGCTGGCCGTGGTGGTGCTCTCCTGTAGTCCCAGCTACTAGGGAGGCTGAGGCAGGAGAATTGCTTGAACCTGGGAGGTAGAGGTTGCAGTGAGCCGAGATCATGCCAAGGAACTCCAGCCTGGCAACAGAACAAGACTCCTTCTTAAAAAATGAAAATAACCCATAAAGACGCAGAAAGTAGAATGCACTTTAAGCAAGTACAAAAGCAAAGAGTATTTTGGAAGTCCCTTAATGCAGGGACTCCTAAGTAAAATAGTCTAGAAAATATAATATTATGGGATACAGAGAAAAGAATCCCCAAATCTGAAAGTATTAATAGTGGCCCAAAAGTTTTATGAAAAAATGAACATACACTCACATCCCTTCATCTTCCTACATATTTAAATATACATAAGCTCTCATTCTAGACTTTGGCTGTAGTGATTTTTCACCAAATTCTTTTGAGGCCTTCGAAAATTTCGTGTTTAAAAAACCTTCAAGCACTGAGTGTGTGTATTGTATAAACACAATATAGGAAAGTGTGCTAGTTTTACCGTTAGATCCTACAAGAGGTGCCCAAAATGGGCAAAACTGGTAAACAACATCCTATAGAATGTGGAGCATGTTAATTATATGAGTATGCTGTATTTTATAATGAACTAAAACTTAGACAAGAAAAGAATCCACCAAAATAGTATATTATATCCAATTTCAAATTTAGAATTTTTTCTTTCTTTAAATCCATATATCTCCAAACAATATTAAGAGTCGAAAACATAGCCTAATCATGTAAAGGATATGCAAATCCCTAGAACTTTTTCCTAATATGCATTGTCTTTCTGTTTATATTTTTACAATATTTTGGCAATAAGTTTTGATTTTCTTCTCTTCTACTAGGGTGCAAGTTATCTGAGTGAAAGAGTCCATTCCGTTTTTCATCTTACTGAGACACAAAATAAGCCTTCAATAAATATAAGAAGAATTAGTCAATGAATGAGCAAATGAATGAATAGATTTATTTGCTTTTTCCAACTTGTTTATCAGGACAGTTAGAAATTAAAAAATAAAACAAAAATAACTATTGTAACTATGAATAACTGTTATAGAAGTTACGTATACTTTTATTAAAATTTTAATACTGGATTTATAGTCTATCCATGAATTTTGCTAAATGGTCTATCAATCACTCTAAGAAAGGCCATTCCTAAACTCTTGTAACCATAGACCTAGAACCAAAAATATTTGATCTCAGCAATGTTGTACTGGGAGATGACCCTTGACAATGGTAAATTGCTTGAAATAAAATCAGGGTTTAAAATAATTGGGTGGTAATGGGAGCCATCTGGAAATGGAACGCTAGTTAGCATTGTAGCCATGTTCCTAGCACAGAGATGCAAGTAAGAGTGGCTTCCATCAACCAGGTGCTGGGACATGTATACATTGGAGCCACTGAAACATTGGCATCTCCACTGATAATTTCAGTCAACGCATGTGGTTTGTAGAACAGCTGGCTAGATATTTGTAGATCATCTACCTCTTTCTCAGGAAAAGGAAATACATGACATAAATCTTTATGAGCCCAGTATCTGATTTAGAGTTTACAGGCTCATATTCTAGAAACTTATGAGTGAGGAAGATGACAAGTTTATCATTTCAACAACACCTGTTTCTTGACTCAGCTTTCTATAAATTATGCCTACGTAATTTTATGGAATTGTCTAATTTCTCTTGAGACAAGATCATCTTGGCAGAAAGCTTCCAAATAATGTCATGGGTAGTCCATATTTCTTATTGCATCATTTAAAAATAAGACTTAGCTCAAATAAATTTTTATAAATGAGCACCTTTAGGAAAAGATATTGTGAACAATTAAATAGGGAGCTTTATAAACTTTTTATAAGCAAGATAAGCAAAACTTTGATTAAATAGATTTTTTTCTTTACTCTGCTTTTAATTAAAAAGTATAAATTCAAGTGTGAAAAAACTTGTGCCGGGTGTGTTTGTCTCTCAAATTATGGTCTGAAGTCACTAAACAAATCAAATTCCAAATATTTGAACCTACCGAGGTACTTGTTTAATTCTCATATTCTGGGACTTTATTTCAGACCTACTGAATCAGAATCTCTGTGGCTGGGACTCTGAATTCTGCATTTTTCATACTTTGGTAATATTTACTTATTCTAAAAGTTGATGACTAGAAGAAAAAGTTCAATGAATCAGAGGGTTGTGTTTTCTGAGTCAGCTCCATAGTACTGTTAAACTTTGGGTGTTCTTTTTCTAGGCTTCTTTCCTTATCTATAAATAAGTTTGAGTATAAAATGTGATGTTGGAGCAAAAGGAATGCTGAAATTTGAAGAAATATACATGCAGAAGACATGAAAGACAGTCTATTATTCTGTTTTCACACTGCTATAAAGAACTACCTGAGACTGGGTAATTGTAAAGAAAAGAGGTTTAATTGACTCACAGTTCCCCATGTCTGGGGAGGCCTCGGGAAACTTACAGTCATGGCAGAAGGAGAAGGAGAAGCAAGCACTTTCTTAGGAGAGAGAGAGAGCAGTGAAAGCCACACATTTTTAAACCATCAGATCTTGTGAGAACTCACTATCATGAGAACAACAAGGGGGATTATCTGCACCCATGATCCAATTACCTCCCACCATGCCCCTCTTCTGACACATGACAATTACAATTTGACATGAGATTTGGGTGGGGACACTGAGTCAAACAATATCAGACAGGTCCTCCAGACTGTTGGTTCAATGCTTACAAAATCAAGACATAAAACATCTAGAATAAATTTAGTCAGTACCCTCTAGTTACGTTTTAGATTTTTAAAAACACAAGTAAACAAGATACAAACACACAAGCAAACAAACAAAAAAACAAACCAACCAAACCAACAAAATAACACAAATGTCCCAAATAAACAAATAATAGCCATAGTTACAGATGAAAGCTAATGCTGTTATAAAACATTAAGACTTCCCCCTTTGAGTTTGGGTCCTAGTTCTTCCTGAGGTCTCAGTGTCTGTAACAATAGGTGATTTGGCCCTGGGTCTCCTTAAGGCAGGGAGATTGAGACGGTGACACTGTATAGAGCCTGTCACCTGCAAGGGCTGCCTCAGGTATAAAAAGGGAAACAAAATACCTGTGCTCTCCAACTGTGGAACAAGCCATGAAATTTGCTATTGGAACTAGACTTTGAATGAAAAATATAAAGTTATACATAGGGAATCAAACTCTCAGCTCTGTAGTTTGGTTATTGAGCTCACATTTAAACTATTTGTATTGCCAGAAACCCCAAGTTATAATAACAATTGGCCAGTTTCATTAAAATTCACAGGGTCCTCTCATATATAAATGTAAGAACTGGGGCATTTAGAACTCCCAAAGATTTAAATATCCTTCCTGCTGAAGATGAGCTCTCAATCAAATTACAAGCCACATGAAAAGTTATAGCAAAACAACAGAGTCAGCAAATGCTAAAAACACTAGAATTAGCATAATGAGAATGGAAAGAAATAAGACAATCAGACAGAGATCATATTAAAAGTATGCTTAAGATTTTTAAAGATATAGGCCGGGCGTGGTGGCTCACGTCTGTAATCCCAACACTTTGGGAGGTCGAGGTGGGCAGATCACAAGGTCAGGAGATCGACACCATCCTGGCTAACACAGTGAAACCTCATCTCTACTAAAAATACAAAAAATTAGCCGGTCATGGTGGCACATGCCTGTAATCCCAGCTACTTGGGAGGCTAAGGCAGGAGAATCGTTTGAATCTGGGAGGCAGAGGTTGCAGTGAGCCGAGATTGCATCACTGCACTCCAGCCTAGGCAACAGA